CCTGCCACCTGGGGCACAGCCCTTGTCCCTCTCCGCCAGCCCCTGGGAGCCAGCCGGCTGCCTGCCCAGCGCCGGGAAGGAGCCTGGGAGAGCATCTCTTGCCTCGTTCTTTCCCTTCATTTTAGTTTTTTCCACCTCCCTCAGGGGTGTCCCGTGCAACGACAGTGCTGCTTTAGCCTGTGAGACAGCGGGCGCCCGCAAACCAGGCACTGAGGTGGCGGGATCTCGGAGCGGAGCTGGGTGACGGCTGCGGGAGCCAAGCTCCGGGATTAAAGGGTTGCTTCTTCCCCGCAAGCAGGAACCTGTAGCTGGACAGCCCCTCGGAGTGAAGCTGGAAAGCTCATCCCTGCTCGGTGCTGTGGCTAATCCCACCAGCTGCCATGCAAAGGGAAAGGTCTCATCGACCTTGTTTTCCTTCTTCTTTACAAGGAGTCCTATGGGGCTTTTTCCTGCCCTCTTCCATACCCCAAACCGTATCGTTACCAATGTGACATTGGGACAGGGTGAAGGGGAGGGTACCGACAGCACAGGGTAGCCATACCAGATGCCCAGCCTCGATAGCAGAGCTCAAATTTATCACCTCCCAAAGGGGAACCAAGAAGCAAGCCAGCATGCCGTACAGAGCGGGGTATGAAAGAGGAAAAGAGGACTTCAGTTGTCCTGCCAAATCCTTGCTTCCCTCAGAGCACGTCCTGGTAATTAATATCTGCAACCCGAGGCTTCAGTACCAAGCTGTAAAATACTGTTTTAATTTGGGGGTTTGAGTTTGGAACACAGTAATAAAAGGGGAGAGAGGAAAGGAGGGGGAAGGTAATGAGTACTCTTTGAAAGAGCTGCACCAAAGCCTCCCCCACAGCCATTTCTGCTCCAAACACCTGGAAGATGGATACCTCCATATGTCCCCAGCACCATCACTCTGCTAGACATGTGGGGTGCTCACGTCACAGCTTTGAACAGAAGCGTGCGGCCTGTGAGGAATCATACTGCTGTCCTGCCCCTCCAGACAGCCTCTGCATTACGGAGCAGGCTACTGCTGCCCAGGGACTTCTTATTTCAAACGGGTAACAAAAAATCACAGCTGACTTTTCCCTTTCAACTCCCTCCTTCCTATCTATTCCACTCTTACTTCGCCATAAGTGGGGGCTTCGTCCACGCTTAATAATCAATCTAGAGATAGGTAGATGGATAGATAGGTGTTACTCTCTGCATAGAACAAATGTCATAAGCTGTGTGGAGCGTACTGCTGATCTTTGCAATAAGCTGCTGTTACATATTCAGAGCCAGCATGGTTACTCTTACCTTAGATATGAAATTGCCAGGTTAATATGGAGCAGGAAAAGCAAACCCAAAGTCTGCCACTGGGTCATGTTCCTGAGGAAGACATAATTTCTTCAAGAAGGAATGGCTCAACTCTATGGTCTGTGTAACTCGATCCAGCTTCTCCAAGGTCTGATCATTGTCTTCATACCAGAGGTGACAAGGAAGTAGCCCTTGGAGAAGACATATTCCTTCAGCTGATCAAATAGAAGAAGGTCCTCCTAGTCTTTCTCATTCAGATCCTTATATCTCATTTAGGGGAGCACTGTGGAGGAACTTCCGGCTCCGTTGGAATCACAAGCATGGCTCCTCTTTACTTCAGCCCACTAAAATTTCCTCCCTCTGTGAATTCAGCGAGGTCTTCTATGAACAGCCTTGTCTGTATGGTATCTACTTGAGTTGTCAGCAGGCTTTTGAAGGCACAGTTGTTAAGGACGGACAAACCTGTTTTCTGTCAGGTTGGGACTGATCCAAGGTCCCACTGGCTTCACTGAAGGTTTCTTCACTCTTCAGCTGACCTCCTCAGCCAAAGGCCAGTGGGACAAACTCTTTTAACTACAGTGGAACTGAGCTTTGCCTTCAGAAAAGCTGTTTGGACGGCTCCTTCCCTCCATTGTCACTCCAGAAGAAAGGAGCAAGGAGCATATGGGAGCCTGGATTGATCTTCGTTTAAAAAACAATAAAAAAGCAGGCTCCAAAGTATTCTAGCTGTGAATATGTGATGCTTTTTTAAATGGAACGCAATGCTTATGAAAATCTGACATTTAGGATCTTTGGACACAGTCTTTTGACTTTTAACTGATTCTGTAATATTGGTACAGCAGCTTAAGTGGAATATTAGATTTTTTAAAGCAAATTTTCATTTCAACCATTTGGATGCTGTTTGTAATCTTAACAATAAGGTCTCTAGCAAGCAAGGGTTTGAAGAATCACAAATTCCAGGTATACTAATCAACTTTTTAAAAGTCCAATTAGACTTTAAAAAGCAATTGGAATATTTTTAAAGCTTTGAAATATATCCTAACCTGTAGACATCTTCCCTGTTACTGCGAAGACAGCTTCCTGCCTTGCAGAACTGAAAGGGTCACAAACAGAAAATCCAAAGACAATGGCAAGTGATTAATAATTGCTACAGGTTCCCACAGAAGATGGACACATGGTTTAATTGCTTGAGGCACTAGAAGAAAATACAAAGCTGTAATGATAAATATCAAATGACTGTGCTAAACTTACTGCACAACGTGGCTAAGCTGCCTAAACATGGACAGTTACATATGAAATAAAAATAGTAATTAGATACTATCTATACTACTCATATAGGCTACATATCTTATTTTGGAAATACTGCTTGGAAAAAAGCAAGTAAAGCAAAGAAGGCAAAGGTGGGTCAGAGTACTAAGGGCTGAAGCAAATCTAAGAAGATGAAAAAACGATGCAGCTTAACCACCATTTTTCAGTCTGCTCTTAACCAGATTTTTTCTCAGCATTTCAGTGTGTCAGGGTTACAGCCAATGCCCTGGCTGGGAATTTTGGCTCTGTTAAAGTCAATGGAAGTCTTGCCCCATCTCTTTAAAGGGTTTATTAAAATGTTAACAATGACTGTCTTGAAATAAAAAAATCAGCCTGTGCTATAAGCAAATATCTCATCTATATGCATGTTGAAGTACTATTGAATTCAACTGGAGTTGCATATGCACTACAATGACAGATTATGGCCTCCACAGCTTTTCTATATTTGTACTATACAGTGTACAGGCCAGATGCCTCATATCACTCATGTAAATAATCTTACTGAAATGTTCTTCATATTGCCAACCATTAATTCATCAGACCTTCTCTTCTTATCCCTTCCCCTCTTCACATTTTAAATAGATTTCTTTTGTTTCAAGGAAATCTTCATGTTTGAATAGAGTATTTTTATGGTTAGTATAAACACTACAAACAGTCCCTTGTCACATTTTATTTCCATTCTTTCAAGGTCAGAATATGACTGTATGTACCATTTGTATTTCTAAATACAAAAATATCTCTGCAAGACTT